GGAGCTATAGGTGTGTGCCACCACGCCTGGCTAGTTTTGTTTTGTTTCTTAATTTTTTTGTATAGATGGAGTCATGCTCTGTTGCCCAGGCTGGTCCTGAACTCCTGGCCTCAAACAATCCTCCTGCCTTGGTCTCCCAAAGTTCTGGGATTATAGGAATGAGACACCAAGTCTGGCCTCAACTAAGAATTCTTATTGTATGTCCTCAATTTAAAAAGAATTCACCAGTACCTCTCTTGGTCATTGATCTAGTATTGAAGATTAGAATTGATAAGAGTCTCTAAATTTACCTGGAAAAAGTTTCTTTACAAACCTAAAGTTAATTTTGTACACCTTGAGTAACCCCTTACTAGTATGTTAATATCAAAGGATAAGTATAAATAGCAGAAATTATAGTGGTACAGACTAAATGGTAGATTTTCATATTATTGCATTATTTCATGTCAATTTCCAGCTTGGAACTTGGCTGTGCAATCTGACAAAGATCCAGTGATAATGAGAGAGTTTTTCATACTTTCTTATAAGGTAAGTTTCTTTTAATAAGTATCTCATGTATGGACCACAACAAGGCTATAAGCACTATGGCTATAGTAAAGGGCTAAATATAGACTGGGATTGTCTCTTAATCTAGGAATTTTTAATATATATATAAGCAGAAATGACCTAAGAATTTGTTTATATAGAGAGAGGGTGTGTGTGTATGTATGTGTGTGTATACACACACATGCATAAACACACACACACATATACACACACACCCTCTATATAAACACAATATGTGTGTGTGTGTGTGTACACACACACACACACATATACACACACACATACACATATATATTTGTGTGTGTGTATATATATATATATATATATATATACAAATTATGTTATATAGGGTATAACATAAGAATGTGGGGCATATCTCTCTATACCAAAATATCAGAAACACCCATCAGGGTGCCTAAAGTTCTACCATTTAAGACTTATTTCTTTGCCTTTGAAGGGATTTCAGCCTCCCAAAGTCCTATATTAAAATGTAAATATCTATAGGAAGGGAATACTCTTAAGTAGTTGTTAATTACCAACATATTATGAAGACTTATGGGAATAAGTTTATAAGAATATAGAATAAGTATCTGGGGACAGCAGGGGCTGAAAAAGGAGATAAGAAGCTTAAGCCTCCTTTATAACTTTCCTAGAGCAGGTTCTGTGTGTAGTGATTTGTGAGTTTGTTACTTAATTCTAAGCATTTTTAAATAGTCGTTGGCCTCCAAGGTAGAGGTTAAATGCCAGAAAGAATACCAAGTATTGATAGGGGAATAAAAGAAAAAGGGCTAAAGAATAGTCTTCATACACATTCAGTAAACAGTATGATATGTTGAGATCAATTAAATGTTAAGAATTTTAGAGCTAGAAAGAACTATAAAGATTATCTACCACAACTCCTTCATCTCACATAAGAGTAATCTGAGACCTAAAGAGACTGGGTGTCTTAAAATGCTATTAATTTAATAACAGTAATGATTATGATCACTGAATGTTTCGGGAGATTAAGAAACAATCTTTGCAAGTTTAGACATAACTGCCATTTTAATTAAGTGAAATAAATTGGTTTTAGTTTTGGTATTTGTCATGGGATTTGTAGGATTGGCATGTAAGAATCCAAATGGCCTAGAGTTTTATTGTAGTAGCTGGGAGTTTTTCCTAAAACTAGGCAATGTTAATGATGAGGTCATGCCTAATGCCTGTCAATATCTGACAATGCCTCTTTCAACCATGACAATTTATGTACTAATTTTGGCTCTATTCAATACAAAGGGGGAAATCTATTTGCCAGGGAAAAAATCACTTAGAAATTGCAACATAAACCAAGAAGTAAATCACTAGATAGAAATACAAGGGCAAATGATACTACTTGTCACTGGAAAAGATAGTAAAACTGTGAAGAAATGAAGCTTTTTGTCTCTAGGAAGGTACTAAAAACAATGGAAAGAAATATAAAATTAAAAGCATAAATCAGCATTATAGTTTATATCATTTATGTGGTGACATGTGCTTTTCCAGCTGAATTTTCTCATTCAGACAGGAAGTTGCTGATTTTCATTCTGATTGTTTGCCTTCACCTGGCAGAATTCTCACTATTCATTGATGCTCTGGTTCCTTCTTATCAGATGTCCCAGCTTTGTCCTTCTGATAAAGTAATTCTGATTGCACGGAAAACATGTTTACTTATGGCAGTCGCAGTTGATCTAGAGCAAGGGAGAAAAGCACCAACGACTTTTGAACAGGTAATGTGCAACCTTCAAAGAAAAGACAAGAATTCAGTGTGCTATTTGATATGTTTGCCTTTCCTGATGCAGTTCTTTTTGATTCTCTTTAGAGAATCCTTTTCTCCACTCCAGCAGCATCTTGATTTCAAAAGTTTGTAATGGCTAATTCCTTCGTAAGCAAAGGTTATTTTTGGTGTGGCCTCTTCTTTTAAGAAGATTAAGTATCTCCTCTTTTAAAATTCCCCTTCCTGAATTGCTTGAACCAGGGAGATGGACGTTGCAGTGAGCTGAGATCATACCACTACACTCCAGCCTGGGTGACAGAGTGAGACTCCATCTCAAAATAAAAATAAAAATAAATAAGTTTTTAAAAATTCCCCTTCCTATGGACCACTCTTTCCAAAAATGTTTTTTAAATATTCTTTATCTTCATTGTCTGCCTGTGATTATATATGGGTGTGGACCCATTTTTGTTTCTTTTCACATTTTCTAAGGAAGAACTCATCTATTTCCATAGCTTTGATAGCCATCTGAAATTATTACTTATCTTGTTTCTCTTCTCTCGATTGTATTTGCTTTCTTTGTCTCACATCCTTAAATATCTCATTAACTTAATTTCTACAAGACAGAATTCCTTACATTTGCCTGAATTTCCCTATCAGGTTCTTAAATGTTACCGCTTTTAGAAGCTATCCAGATCACAGTCTCTCAAGCACCAGATTATTGATTTGCTTTTAGCTGTACCTTTCTTCTTTCAATCTAAGAAAATTATCTCCAAATCAGACCAGTAGCATTTTTGTATGATTTTTAAGATCTAGGTCTCTCTGCTTGGTTTATCTTACCTGGACAAAGAAAACTTCCTAATTTCCCATACTTGTCAGCTTCTGTCCTCTCCAAGTGATATAAACCCCTTGCTGTTTATTTTCTTCCTCCTATTAATCTCTTCTTTCATATTGTTCTTTGGATCTGGAACAAACTCTCACCAGATCTCTGCCAACTATTTTGCTTCTTTTTCCTTCCATTGTTTAGTTCAGCTCAAAAAACATTTGAGCACCAGACACCTTTCTAGGTACTTGGGATACAGAGATAAAGAAGCCAAAGTTCTTGTCTCTGAGGAGTAAAGGGGACCCTCTTTTAGGAAGTATTTTTATTTTAAAAGAAGGTGAGAAAAGACTCTACCTGCCCCAGAGCAAAACAAACAAAAATTCTATTTAACAGGCAAAGGTAAATGTAATTTAATTCTCAATAGGGACTTTTGCTTTACTAAAAAATAATAACATTTTATTTTTATATAGTACTTTTTAATTTCTAAAAGTTTTTCATTTTGCTTGGTAATCCTGAGTTTGTTTAATTTTTTATCTCAGTGAATGGAGATCAAATTGATGTGAAAGAACTTTCACAAACTCTTAAGTACAGTCATTATTTTGTTTGTTTCTAACTACTGTTCTTTT